AAGTGGGTCTTCCGGATCCAACTTTCCATACGGATAGCTTGCGGGGCTCGTAAACTGTCTCGTCGATGCTTATGACAGCGTGCACCACAACGCCTGTTTGCCTGTCGCCTAGAACGGGACCATGGGTAGATCTACTTGTCACTTGGAAATCCAAGTGAGCGTTCACAGCTGGCTCACTACCCAAACGCCGATAGTGAGCGACGTATGGATTCTGCTGTGACAGGTATCGATTGATAGAGTCAGCAACGTCACCGTCAAGTGATCTACCCAAGGCAATGTTCCGCCGTTCTTCACCGTCGTCGATGTAAAGACGGGACCGGTTCACAAACTGAACGTCCCCAGCCTTAGTGGTAAACTTTTGACCGGGGTCGGACAGATTGTAGACCTGGTGGTACATTCTCCCCTCGATTTTGAAGAAAGACAGACCGCTGGGGTGCCTGTACCCACCAGATACCTCCAAAGCACAGAACGCAAACAGGTCGTTGTAGGCACGAGCCCTATCGAGGAAACGACGATCAGAATAGAAGACTTCGTCAAGGGGACTTAGATCAAGGACGTTGTATGCCCCTTGTCCACAACACCACTTCTTCCTACCCTTTTCCTCCTCAAAAAGTGGAGCGCCACAGTGCATACACTTAAAAATATCATTGTCCCAAAGACTAACTTTTTTAAGACTAAAAGCTGGAATATCATTCAACAGCTCCCCCTTCCAAGACCCCATTGGACCGTTATCAGAAATGCTTCGAGCAAGTGAAGCTGGCAAGTGACGAAGATCGGAAAACAAAGGATTACGTAGCCGGAAAATCTGCACCCTTTGACGAGAGGCATCGGGATTTCGTTGGCTGTATCGACCAACCGCCTCCCTGTTGACCTCAGGGTGAGTTTGGCTATAGCGATGTACAGCCTCCCTGTGGACTTCAGGGTGCGTTTGGGTGTACCGCTCAACAGCCGCTCTGTTAACCTCCGGATTGTCTTGCGAGTACTGAGTCTTTTTCTGTCTGATAAGATCAGGGTGCGACTCCCTATACTTTTTCTTTGCCGCGTCAGCTTGCTCTTCGCGTGTCGTGTCCAGAAGTTTTGGACGACCACGTTTTATTTTTTTGGGTCTACCAGGACCTTTAGATGTCTTAACGACTGCCTCAGAAGCAGATTCAGATAATTGTGATAATACAGAGTCTGGGCATGCGCTCGGGTGGACAGTTTGATTGATGGAAAATTTAAGATTCGTAACTGAGTACTGTCCACCGACGAACACTGTATTTGCCAATAGAAGGGAGGCCAGGGAGGGAAAATTGTAACAAACAAACAGCCTAGCCTTATTTTTGGTCTCATCAATGTCTCGACGACGGCCTTCGTTCACCGCGTGTGAATCAAAGAGGTAGAGTCGCTCTTGGTGACGCCAAAAAGCTACTGCTACCAATTGTCCGGTAAACAAAAAGCCGCCATCAACAGAGTCCTCGGGCATGGCTGTTTCCAACAATAATGATAAGGATCGGACCACCTCATCCAATTCGGCGTAGGAACGAGGATACAACCCATCCCCAACATGTGAAATTTCCTCTATGGTTACAGAACGTTCTGCAACCACAAAGTCCCTGGAAAGGTCCTCAGGGTACAGATACCTGTTACTGATGCTATACTCACGGCGAGATTGTGTGTACAAGCGATCGCCCGCCATGAGTATATCGTCAATAGCATTGGTACTGAACCCCCCGCAGAACACTTGCCAGGCGAGGGCACAGGCTGCATTAGCCATGCACTGAGAGTTGTTACTGTCAGTGAACCTTGGATCTCCTTGGTGAAAGGATCCGACAGCAACGCACGTAAAATCCATAATAGGTAACCAATACTCAAATAACACGAAGAAATCCGAAGAAATTAGAGTTAAGAGAGGCAACTGAAATTCAACTAGGTAGTCAAATAAGAACGCAGAAATATGAGCGAGAACCAAATCACCAATTCGTAACAGTAGTTTTTGACTTATAACCTAAGTTTTGGGGGTCAAGGAGTAAAGTTACGAAAAAACATGTAATGAGTAAAATTTAAAGTAATGTAAGGAAAATACAAAGCAACAATAATTTTTGAAAAAAAAAAAATATTTAAGTATGAAAAAATGGCAAAAACCGGTAAAAATTTGAAAAAAATTTAACAAATTTTGAAAGTAGGGCGTTTTTTGAAGCTGAAGGAGTGAGATTTTCGGAAAACGCCTAAAAGGGCTATGTATAAAATTTAATTCCTGTTCCTGGATATACTTTCAAATCTTTGCTAGCTCTTACCGTTTTCGAGCTACATCCGGTTGAAAAAAAATGTGTTTTGTCGTTTTTAGAGGTCCGCCATTTTGGATTTTTAGGGTGGTTAAAAATTTGAAAATGGGACTTTTGAAAATTTCACCCTTAGCTTATGATCCCTTACTACAATACTACCAAATTCCAAGTCTCTATCACGTTTCTAAACACTTCACATGACCATACCAAAGTCATTAAATTTCAATCTTATTCTCCATAAGAATAACATGGGGCTCGTAAAAGTGGCAAAAAACCTTCAAATTTGGAGATTAAAATTAAGTTTTGGGGATCAAGGAGTAAAGTTACGAAAAAACATGTAATGAGTAAAATTTAAAGTAAAGTAAGGAGAATACAAAGCAATAATAGTTTTTGAAAAAAAAATTATTTAAGTATGAAAACATGGCGAAAATTGGTAAAAATGTAATAAAAATTTACAAAATTTTGAAAGTAGGGCGTTTTTTGAAGCTGAAGGAGTGCGATTTTTGGAAAACGCCTAAGAGGGTTTTGTATAAAATTTAATTCCTGTTCCTGGATATGCTTTCAAATCTTTTCTAGCTCTTACCGTTTTCGAGCTACATCCGGTTGAAAAAAAAGTGTTTTTTTAGTTTTCAGTGTTCCGCCCATTTGTATTTTTGGGTGGGTTAAAATTAGAAAATGGGACTTTTGCATATTCCACCGGTAATGTAAGATCTCTTACTACAATACTACGCAAATTTGAAGTCTCTAGCACGTTTCTAAGTTGTTCAGATGAGCTTACCAAAATCGGCAATTTTCAATGCTATTTCCCATAAGAATAACATGGGGGGGGAAATTCCAGATTACAGGGGGGTTAAAATTTAAAAATGTCACTTTTTAGAATTTTCCCAGGGGTTTGGGCACTAGACCAACAAGCGTGCCAAATTTCAACTCTCTAGCACCTCTAGAAGTGGTCTAGAATTTGTATCACCCGTGAGTTACACATCGGGCTGTATAGTTATTTAGATGTCCAATCATCTCTTGAAATATGTTGCAGATTTTATCATTTTGACCCTTACTTTGCTTGTTAATTCTTGTTAGAGCGAAGGAATCTTCCCAGACGAATTGAAGTTATCAAAACTCATACCTATCTATAAATCATAAATCTAAGGATGTAAACGAGGCAGCCAGTTACAGGCTGATATCTGTGGTTCCCGTCATTGCCAAGGTTGTGGAAGTGGTAATGAAAACTCAGGTTAGTGACTACTTTGAATCCAATGGTTTAATTTCTTCTGATCTGATCAGTTTGGCATTAGGCCTGGTATGTCAACGGCCGACGCGGTCGGGGCCCTTGCTTCCTCAGTAATTGAGGGTTTTGAGCAAGGCTTAGCCACTCGAGCTTCGTTATGTGACTTGAGCAAGGCCTTCGACTGCGTTGACCGGGACATACTATGGGAAAAAACTTTTTTTCAAAAAAGTTGGAAAAAACCTTTGATCAAAATTTTTGAATCCTAGGCCTATCTAACAAATAGGCAACAAAAAGTTAGTGTTGGGTTCAATGTCAGTCGCTACCCAGGTTGAGTTAAGTATACCGCAGGGCTCGGTCCTGGGCCCATTCCTATTTTTGGTTATGGTTAACGACTTGCCTGATAATATCTCTGCTGAGACTGTCATGTTTGCTGATGATTCGACCTTTTTTATGAATGAAGTAGTTCTTAAAGAGGCAGGTGAATGGTATGCAGCTAACAAATTTATCCTCAACTTGAATAAGACACAGAATATAACTTTCTCTCTAGACGTAAGAGCACCGAAAGTGGCAGATGATTACAGTGGCGTTAAACTTTTAGGTTTCCATCTTGATCCTAAGTTAGTTTGGGATACTCATGTTACTAAGGTTTGTTCAAAGCTTTCCAAAGTTGTTCACATGTTGCGTCGCCTTAGGTTTAGCATACCTAGTTATTACTTAAGATCTTGTTATTTTGTTTTTTTTTTCATAGTATTTTGCTCTATGCTATTTTGTACTGGGGCAATAGTTAAAAAATAAGTGAAGTTTTAGTGATTCAGAAAAAGGCTGTGAGGATTTTATCTAATGTAGACCCTGATGAGCACTGTAGGCCCTTGTTCAAACGAGCCCATATTTAAATGTGATAAATGTATATATTTTTGAGTGTTTATGTTATGTTAAAGAAAAATGTAGATAACCTCACTTTGTCAAACCAAATCCACAACCATTTCACAAGATCTAGTCATCATGTTTATAGGCAACATTGTAGGTTAAGTAAAACCCTCAAGTCTTTCAATGTTTTTAGTATTAATTTGTTTAACAAACTGCCTCATAGCACAAAAGAAGTTAGTAATAGTAAATTTAAGAAAGTTTTGTCAGATTGGTTAGTGGAAAACCCTAAGTATAGTGTCAACGAGTTCCTGAAAAAGACTTTCAACAATTCAATGTTATCATTCTGTGTTCAGATCTAGGCCTATATATCTGTTTATTTTTAAGCGGGCTAAGATATTTTAAATGTGACTTTGCTTATTGCATGTACATGTATAACGGCAATAAACAATTCTTATTCTTATATTTATTATTGTGCTTATCAAGTATCAACTACAATTGGCAATTTTAGCAGATAGGCCTATACTACAAATGAAGATTTAGATCAATTAGGCCTACACTGACCAAAGAATGCCCTCAGAGTATAGGTACTAATTATTTTTTTTTCTACCCCCAGTCCCCAGGTACTTTAATATGAATATACTTACAATAACCAACAGCAGGCTCCTGTGAGCATCAGTACACACTGGATTATCCTGAAATAATAATGCAGAACATTATTACTAAGTTATGCAGATTGTATGAATAACCTAAAAAGTACAGTGACTTAACGGTGAAAGGAAGACATAATACTATATTTATCTTACTAATATTATAAATGTAAAAGTTTGTGTGTTTGTTTGTTTCAAGTTCAATCACGCATAAACCACTGGACGGATGGGGCTGAAATCTGGCATGATGATTATGATAGCTCACATTCCCGATTAACGTATAGGCATATTCTTTTATCAAAAATCCTTTCGGGCTCCGCCCCAGTGGCTCTGTAGTTCCCCACTAGTTGTGTGCCCGTTCTACGCACGGGGATCTTATCGTAGTCAGTTAAAACCTTCTTATATTAAGCACAGCAGTTGGTTTGCATACTTTCAGATATGCTGACAAAACTAAACTATTATATAAACCTTCGCAAATACAGTATCTGACAGTTTCAGGCCAAAAATAATGCTTTGCAATTAAATGTCACCCGGATCTTGTTGGTCCATATGTTAAATCCAATGATTAGGCCTAAACTAAAAAATGCTTTAAATATCTATGAGGCATAGCCCTGAGGTAGACCTATAATTGAAATTTACTTTCCACAATGGTTAAAAGTATTTAAGGTACTACCTCAACCTCACAGTTTAACACTTTATTTGTGTTGACATTTTCATTATCAAGGTGGTATTGTCCTTTCCGTGAAACACTGAGAAATTAGATCATTAATGCATTACCAACAGACATACACAAACAAATACAGAACTTAATTAGGGAATTTGCTATGCTTTAAGCATAACAAAGTACATATACAATTATTATTTGAATTCTTTGTTAATGTTATAAATTTTTTATATTTACTTAGACCGAAGATGACCCGAAATGCTGTTGAAATGCTACATGAATCGGCTTGCTATATGAAATTAAGTACTATAGACGATTTAGATTGGTAATTTATAATAAAAATTACCAAAATAGGCCACGAACTATTGATACATAAACAACGTTTAAAGCGTATTAACATTTCATGATGGTTTGCTGAATAATTGTTTTACTAAAATGCGTTATCGTTTTCTTAGCATAAACTAACATTTTGGAATCCAGACAGAAAAAGCAAAACTTATACAGTTAAGACATCAATTAAATTGAATATGCCTGTAATAAATAAGGTGCAACACCAACGATAACTAATTTGTAAATTACAGTAATGTGTTGGTACGTAAAAATGATTCTTGCTGCTACTACCGGTTCAAAGGAAAAGAACCAGTACCAAAAACCAACGTTTACGGTTAAGAACTATTGTACATCCGACCAATTATATGCGTTAATAAAGGTTATTGATCTCTTGGTTTTGGATTTTCTCGTAAAAAGTTATCGGCAATCAAAGTTATTTCCCATTAATTGCTTTATTTGTAAACAACTTTTAATGTAAACTTATCTGTGTCAGTTAAAAAAAAAAAAAACAATCTTATACAACAACTTTTTGTTATTTAATAGATTAGGCCTACGTATTCCCTAAACAATGATTACGGAAATGTGATTAAAATCACACAACGTTGGTGTTTTGGAAGTTTGTAATTTTATTTCTTAAGTAGGCCTAGGTAGGCCGTGTATTCTAAGGAAAAGTACCGGTAACAAAAATCGTCGACGAAAAAGGTTGTTCTAATTGGGTAGGCGTACGTACCCAAGAGATGGGCTACGGGCCTATTGGCTGTATGGTCCAGCGATTGCATCACACGGTGAGTAGGAACTATTGACTATATATGTATATAGTCCATGGTAGGAACAGAAAGTGACACATTGGAAAATCGAGTTTAGCATCATCCGTAAACCTCTGTTTCAATCACCCACTGCAGTTGTAATTTTTACTTTACACTTTACACAACCGCCATTGAAGCACCGTCAATGAGTGGAAACATTGTTTCTAAGCTATTGGCGACGATCATTATTAAATTTAAGTCTTCTTTCTGGTTATCAAAACTCAAGAACAATTTTATACACAAAGAATCTCTGGTTCCTGACCTGGATGATGCCTAGTTATTTAATTTACGGTTACACTATATTATTCCACTTGCGGTTAATTAAATCCTTTATGTAAGAAACAGGTTTTTAATCTCACTTGGATGGGACTTGCCTTCAAAACGTGATCGGAAATGGTTGCGGTATTTGTAAACATATCAGTGACAGTTAGAAGAAATAATCTTGATCCGAACAGCTGTTCGTTATTTTATAGATGATTATGTGATAAAAATAGGACGAAAACATGAAAAAAAACGCACAAAACTGCATTTTTGAACGTCCTTAATTTTATTTACAAATTAGTGAGGCCATATTTTTATGGCTAAAGACACTCTCACCAATCCAGTGAATACATTAAAATGACTTGGATCTAGATAGGTATTCTCGTTTTCCCGGAGAAGATTGCGTAAAACGCCATCTTGAGTGTTACAGAAAGACAGACAAACAGAAATTTACATGAGACTTTTTTCGGCTTCTTTAATGTATAAAACGTAAAAATAACCTAAAAATTTATGATTCTGAGCAATGTACAGACAAAACTCTAATTTTATTTATATAGATGTTAACCTTATGAGTAATCACATTTAAAGGGAAGTACCTGGGGACCGAGCTTTGCTCGCGGAAAATCATTAGTTTACTCTGAAAGCAGTTTAGTATTGCAGGTACATTAATCCACTCCCAAACTCCACACTGCTCACCTTCACTACTTCCTTCACCACTCTCTACGTCGTGGACCTGTTTGCCCTCCTTCCCTATACCATTTTAGAATTGCAGATACATAAATGCCACAGACAGTTCCCACACTCTGCACTGCTAGCCTTACTACTTCCTTTACCATTTCCTACGTCGTGGACCTGTTTTCCTCCCTTCTCATAGCATTTTAGGATTGTAAATACCTTAATCTAATCGTCATTAACAGTTCCCACACTCCGGACTGCTTGCCTTTACTACTTCCTTCACCACTTCCTACATCGCGGACCTGTTTCCCTCCCTTCCCATAGCATTTTAGGATTGTAGATACCTTAATCTAATAGTCATAAATAGTTCCCACACTCCAGACTACCGTACTTGAATTTACTACTTCCTTCACCACTTCCTCTGTCCCGGGCCTGTTTCCCTCCCTTCCCATTGCATTTTAAGATTGCGGATACCGTACCTTAATCTAATCGTCATAAACAGTTCCCACACTCCGGACTGCTCATCTTTACTACTTCCTTTACCCCTTCCTACGTCGCGGACTTGTTTCCCTCCCTTCCCACGGCATTTTCCTTAATCTAATCGTCAGTAACAGTTCCCACACTCCGGACTGCTTGCCTTTACTAGTTCCTTCACCACTGCCTACGTCGCGGACCTGTTTCCCTCTCTTCCCATAGCATTTTAGGTTTGCAGATACCTTAATTTAATCGTCATAAACAGTTCCCACACTCCAGACTGCTCGCATTTACTCCCTACTTCCTTCACCACTTCCTACGTCGCGGACCTGTTTCCCTCCCTTCCCTTAGCATTTTAGGATTGCAGATACCTTAATCTAATCCTATATTCTAATATGAGCAATGTTTGCTTGTATGTATGTATGTATGTAGGCTATGTATGTATGCTTGCAACAAGATCTCGAAAACGGCTCCGACGATTTTCTTCAAATGTTGTAAATAGTTTATTCCTGGCCTAAAAACGAGTTAACTGCAGTTAGAACAGTCAACAAAAATCTAATTACGTAGATAAATGAAACTGAAAGTCACATTATTTTAACATTAGTCTTATGGGTTGCTAAGTAACCATCTTGGCTGAATTAAATAACAACGAAAAAGTAAACAGAAGACTTGTAAGTTGTCTATCAACAGTATAATAGCAAATTAAAAATACCCCCGCCACAGCAAACCTGCAGACTAAGCGAATTTCCATTTGCCTGATTGGATTTACACTACAATGTCTCCTTAAAAATATCACATTTATTCCCTATTTAAATAGAATTAGTTAAAACACATACTTAGTTTTGCTGCAACAGGGAGGGTAAAAGTGTTTTTTTTTAATGTAAAATGTTAATAGTTAGTAAGAAATAAAAACATTTTCCAAATTTGGGCAAAATATGTTAATAAACAAGCAAACTACAACAGTTTACTTATTCTCCATAAGAATAACATAGGAATTTTAAATTTACAATTTTTTGGAATTTTCTCCATAACCATTAGGCGCATTATAACGCTTCAATATACTAAATTATTTGTTTTTTTAAGCTCTACAAAATAGTCTGGAAAGAATTGCTAAATTCTATGTTTTTTGGGTCAAAAATGGGAAAAACCCATTTTTACCCCATAAAAGCCCCCATAAGCCCCCGTTCCCATGGTCCGATCATGCTGGTTCGCGAACTCGTTCGAATAAACGTAGGTTTACACGTTTGTACCAAATTTCATCAAAATCGGATCATTTTTGCTCAAGTTATCGCGCTAACGGACACATATATAAATATATATATATAAATATATATATATAAATATATATATATATATAAATATATATATAAATATATATATATATAAATATATATATAAATATATATATAAATATATATATAAAAATATATATAAATATATATATAAAAATATATATATATAAATATATATATATAAATATATATATATAAATATATATATATATATAAATATATATATATGAATTTGAACGGATGGTGTTTTTGGCCTCTAGGGACCTCAAAACGAAAAAAAAAATCGGTCCCGGGTCCAGGTCTCACCATGAGTACTACGGTAATAGCTTATTCCCTATATGGGAAATTCGCTAATACAGTACAAAAGGAATAACATCAGTTGTTACTTTTGAGCAAAGATTATACTGAAGCTTACTTGATACATTGTAGTTGAGTGTAGCAGTGTGGAGTGTGGGATCTGTTTATGACGATTCGATTAAGGTATCTGCAATCCAAAAATGTTGGGGAAGGGTGGGAAACAGCAGTGTGGAGTGTGGGAACTGA